ATGAATTACGACTTACGCTGCCTTCAGTTACCGTAAACTGCTGCATGAAAGCCCTGGGCCTAAACAACTTTGTGAGGGGTCGTGGGCTTATGACCGGAATAGGAAAAGCGCTTCAAAACACGTTATAGCAGTGTCGATCAAAATACCATTTACTGGATTTTAATTAAGCTTCAAAACGTCATTAGAAATCAAATTGATTTTAATACAAGCTAGAAGGTCCCTTAGGAAGGCCTGATACTCAGGCTAACGAATCAGTCTCTCGCTTGTTTACCATGCACCTTTTTTGTTTGTTTTGTTTCAGATGACACGGTTTTAGACTTTCAAAACTGGGATCTCGACAAAGATGGCGTTCTCACTGGATACGAGGTTTAATATTATGTTGTCTCGCATTTCGTTGAATCAGCCGTTTTTCCTACTTCAGTGGATTGCGGATTTTATATCATTTCAGAATATCAGGTTAGAAAGATAAGACGTCGCTCCGCCAAAAAGAAAATTATACTGGCCTATAAATTTCACCGCTCTGCCTTCAAAAAAACTAATTGGTTTTTCACCCGCCTGCACATGGACAAAAGGTTCATTGGTACTGAATTACTTGCACTCAACTGAGAGCGAGTGCCGTTCTTGTCATGCTTCGAGGTAATAGATGACTTTGTGAGTCAAATAGCTATAATAAACCTAAAAAATCCCTGATCGTCAAATGAACTTTCAACGACAAGGTGTCTTTTCATTTCTATCGCATGATTTAAGTCACTCTATCTTATGTGTTAATTTTGTTATAGCAGCTGAATCAATCAGACGGTACTTTATTGAATAAGTTATTGCATGAAGAAATTAGAATTGCCGATTTTTTGAAGGTTGATTGAATTTTACATCTTTTTCTTCTAGTTTATAAAGGCTGCCGAGATGATTTTTTTCCTGTACATAGATGAAGACGACGTCCGTGAAATGCAAGTATCTCGGATAGTATGTTTCTGGTCCTGCTGCGTGATGAAACCATTTCATTACGCACAAAATATTGAAAAGATAAATTCCAAAGCCTCAGCATTACCATTTCTCTTCAATGTATAGACCCGCATAATAGAACGAAGAAAAACTCACTATCTTCCTTAAAGATCAAACTAATTTCCAGATCAATTTTGATGTAATGCCGGAAAGATGTTGTTCACCCCGGTTTGTGCAAGATAGGGTAATTTCTCAACACTGACAATTTTAATTGAAAAGCAGTCGAAATGTCTCGTACCTAAGTGACTATCGTAAGACAGCCGATAGACTAACCTATCATGATATGTTCAAGTTAAGCCTGGAAATATTTGAGGATATTTATTTAATATAGCACCTCATGCCTCTTGAAAGGAGACTGAAATTAGCGGTTTGCAAAAAATGCTTTCGTTGAAACACCTTTGCATTCCATGCAATCTACAATAGAGAGGAGAAGTGTGAAGTCACGTTACCATGGTAACGCTATTTGTGGATGACAACAAAGCCAACGACGACAGCGACGGTAAGGAGAACTGCAAAAAATAATGTGTTTATATTAACAAACAACTACTTTGCACGTGCACGTGTACATAATTTTGCCGTCGTTCCACCACTGCGACATGAAACTTCCTAATTTCACGAGTCCGCTTTATGGATTAGGTCAACACAACACCAAAATTGTCGCTTTCTTTTTTTAAACTTAGATGACCATAGATACGGTCCCAAAGAAAATTTCGCCAAGATTTGCCAAAGTAAATGAAATTGAATAAGATTGGTGAGGTTTGAAATAGTGCGAATAGACTTTTAAGTGACATTTTCGGTTTGTTGCCATCCAAAAATGTTGCTACCATTGCAACGTGACGTAACGACTTCCCCTCTCTATTGTAGATTTAAATAGAATTATCTTTCAATGCAAATTGTTCTTCCTTTTTATTGGCCGAGATCCCACCACATGTGCCTACAAATAATGGTCTGCTCATGCCCAAGTCGTCCAATTGTGTTTGGCTGCAAATAATATGCGTAAATAAAACCACAGATCAATCAATCTGCTCGCCACTGACAAATAACGATATTTTGCTCAAACTCGTCCAATAATTGTTGATTATTTTTTCTTGTACAGGTTTACTGTTTTGAACATTACACAGTTTGGCCCAGGTCAGGAGTATACAGTCTTTATATATAACTTAAATGACAAAGGATTGCTTATAACCTGTTGTCTTTCAAAAGACAACTCTAGATTAGAAAGTCTGAGGGGTTGTCCAGTTCAACTTTTTTTAAAATTCTTCTCAGTAAAGAAATAGCAGCGCTAAACGAGATTCAAGGTTCAAGTTTTATTCCCGAAAATAACAAGAGATAACAAGACTACGAAAGCCATGCTTCTGATGAACCAGCGGGTATTAGCACCACTATGCCAAAACCACCGGTTTTTTCCAATGAAAAAAACACGTCAACAAAACCTGGTTTGGTATCTGAAGTATAGCTCATGTTTTAATTCTTTTAACCATTTTGCTTGGGTAATTAAGTGAGCATATAACTATTCCAAAAGTAGTGTTAGACCTACCTAACAAAGTATGGAATGTTTATTATAACTGATTTGTAGGTCCGCTGTGCGAGGACAACGAAGCTTCATGCTCACAGCTGGCAAAAGAAGGAGCCTGTCAGCTTTATCCTACATGGATGTTATTTACTTGCCGAAAATCTTGCGACAACTGTGGATGTGACGACTTAGCTGCCAACTGCTCTTCGCTTGCTAAAGAACAAAATGTCTTGATGATGGACATGTTTATTGGATGCTGAGAAACTGTCGTCGCAGTTGTAAGGTTTGTTTAGGTGAGAAAAATGAGTGCTTTTCTGTGAAAAGTTCTTCTTCTGGGTTTGCCTTGACCCCTTTCTTCACTGCATCTTCTCACGTAACAAAGGCGCGTCTGAGTCTACAGGCAATCAGACAAGGCCCATAAGCAATATTGAATAGGCCTACTCAATCACTATGCATGGGCCTACCCATTCACTTAAAGCCACAACTGCGTCTGTCATATTTGTACATGCTTTATGTGGCAATATTATCACAACATTCCATTTTGTATACCATAATGTTAGGCGCTTGTTTCAAGTTTGATTTCTTTGCATTTCCGCAGGCGCCATTAACAATGACACGTACCAAAGCTTGCTCAGTAATGATATTCTTAAATACTTAAAGACAATGGAGCGAAAACACCCCAAACACCGTGCTCGGTATAGCCACACGGCCTGGCTACATAGCACAGTACCAGACCCGATACAAAGTAATATGATTGACAGGTATGTGGTTGTTAGTGTATATTGGTTGAATCGAAACAACCTTTAGAGCAATTTTCGTATGACCTTGACATGAAAAGGGCGAACAAAACAGAAACAACAAACTAACGGAATAGAGCGATTTGATTGGTTTATCGAACGGATACAAACGCACGTGGCTTTTGGTTGGTTAAGCAAACGCTCGGGTGAAAAAACTTCATGTCCGAGAACTTTCTAGAAATCAACCGACACTTTGCTTTGACGTCATACTGCAACACGATTGGCCAATCGAACAATGCCTTCTCCATATTAAGGTTTTCTGTGGCGGCAAAACGAAGAGGCCATGTTTTGATCTTTTCATCCATTGGCTGATAAAACAAATAACGAACACTTACCAAAACCATTTTTCAAGGTCATACGAAAATCGCTCTACTGACTTATTTGGTGTAAACACTCGAATTTATTGGATGTTACAAAACGGTACATGATTTTATAAAAGGTCGACGGCTGTTCACATCCCAAGGAATGGGAACTAATCTGTCGCAAGTTCACCCAAACCACGTTTCCCAAACTGACCTTTTCAGGGACAATACGCTCTTCTCACGTATGATAATATGCCCGTCTAACCTCGTTTTTGAGTAAAAAGTCCTTTGAAATGCTAATCAGACGACGTTTTCGTATTTGAATTTCAAAAGAATTTTTACCCGTAAACGAGGTTAGACGGGCATATTACCATAAGTGAGAAGAGCGTATTGTGGCTGATGTTACGTCGCAAGAGCAATTGCTAAAACTTCAACATATTAAAATAACAATAAGGCAAATAACTAACCTGTATTGTTCACTCTATCAACTCAACTTCTTGTTTCACTCCGACTCTCCATCGACCCAGTAGAACAGATTTTTTGACGCTAGCCGTTCTATTTTATTTTAATTTAGTTTTTGTGATGCTTTTCATTTTTAGGGTCGAGAAGTTAACTGGTCTTCCTCGTGAAATAGTTGAAGGTGCTGAATCTCTACAGGTTAGTTTATCAACAACACATCCAAATATAATGATTTTTCACTGTTTCTCAACAAAACGTTACATTTTTTCGTTTTGATCCCCTACCTAGACTCAACTTTGAAGTAATAAATTGTATCAAACACTAGACACAGTGTTTCAATACATATCAAACACGGACAAGAGGATTGCAAATACGACGCCTAGCTGATTATTTCTTAAGCCACTTTGATTGAGTGGAAGCTAGTGGATACGGGCGAATAAGTTCTGATTCTTGTGGGACGTAAAAGAACCCACACTGCTGTTCGTAAAGAGAATAGGGGGCGTAGACCCCGGTGGTGTGGTACAGCCTTTCATGGGCTGGGTTAGTAATTAAGGGCTTGATTTCAATTGGTAAGTCCTGTCACCGTGTTGAGTAACCTTGGCGAATTCAATAAAGATAAAGATTAAGATAAAAACTCACTTGTTAAGTATCTGTCTCTCGAATCATACGTAGGTGGTTAAATATGACAAGTATGGTCATTACCATGCTCACTACGACTCCTCCATCACTGGAGACCCCAGTATGATCTGCTGTCATCAAACAAGGAGCAGAAAGAACCCGTGCCGACTCTGCAGGTAGATACTCGCTCTTTATAAGGGCGTCACTATAAATGTGATGTTTAAAGACGAACGTTTGTTCTTTATTTATAAATAGTTTCACGCTTACGGCATAATGCATCCGACAACGATAAAAAAATTAAATGTTAGAGTAATCATGGGTCGCATATTAAAAGCCTGCGTGTATTTAAAGAAAACGATAGACGCCCGATTTGCGACTTTCAGGTTTCCCATAATGCAATATGGTTTGCCTAAGTATTGTATTCAATTTTGCATAAGTGTTGTTTTCAATCGTTCCTTGAGAAATAGGCCGCTTTTACGATAGCTTCTTTTTACGACGCAGACCAGAATTTCGTTTCTTTCTTTCGTAATAATTTAAATTTGGTAATTCCAGTGAGGTTTTAGTAACAAAAGCCCTAGCTTTCACAAGAAAAAAAGCTAAACCCTGTAGGATTCTAGTAAAGTGGCAGTAAAATGAAGCCATTGTTCAAATAGCCTTTCGAAAACAAAAGTTATGCAAAATTTTATGGGGAACGCAAATTGCATTAAGGGGACGTGAAAGTCGCAGATGCGCCTGTTGAAGAAAGGTTAGATCGCTTACCATGGAGATCTTTTGTGTTCCCCATTGTTGTTTAGCTTAGTATTAATAGTTTATGCTCTAATGTGTGCCCACAAAATTCTGCGGGCTTTGCTTCTGGTAAGTCCGACAATTTTAACAATAGCTCAGGGAACCCGTGCGCCCAGCCACCGAGTGGGGAAATACTGCTGGTGCATCAAGACACCCGCGGCTGAAGCTAGTGAGAGCGTTGGAACGTAATTCAACGCAAAATTATCTGTTTGGATTTATTCGAGTGCCTTAAGTGGATAAAGTTATGCCCGTGCTACAAATAAAACAATAGCACACATGAGAGATCCTCACAGCAACATAAAACCCGAAAATTAAAAAAAAGCGAATCCATAAAACCTGGAAGGATCATATCTTTCCCACGCCGGGAATCGAACCCGGGCTGCGGCGGTGAGAGCGCCGAATCCTAACCACTAGACCACGTGGGATGATGATGGTAGAAAGTCCTCTGATCGACCTTTTTACCGATACAGCGGCCATATTGAATTTATTAGATTTAAGGAGTATTATGGAATGCCCAGGGGGCACTCGTTCAGTATTTACGCGCGCTTTTCGGGCAAAAAGAGAACTTCAAGGTACATTTATCCGGAAAAAGGCGATTATTACAACCAAACATGGCACAAAGTTCTTTTTTCCCTATTACAATCTTTTTCTAGGAAAACATAAAGAAAAATTGGCCCGAAAAGCGCGCACAAATACTGATGCGAGTATATCGTATCGTACTGATGCCCCCTGGGCATCCCATAATACTCCTTAAATCTAATTAATTAAATATGGCCGCCGTATCGGTAAAAAGGTCTATTAGGCTCCCGACTAGTGGAGAACCCAGAAACCCTCAAAACCAGCTGACTTTGCTGTCTTAACTCGGGTCCCGGGCCCCTGGACTTGGGTTGTTCCCGCACAACACTAACACCATTTCGTAAACATTTTCATTTGCCCATGTGCGATTTCCTTTTACTCACATCCAATTGCTTTAAATATTACATTAGATTAAAATCATTTTACATCTCATTCGATTGAAATCTTTTCTTATTCTTTTCACGACCAATTAATGCTAGTTCATCACCGACATCCCACGTGGTCTAGTGGTTAGGATTCGGCGCTCTCACCGCCGCGGCCCGGGTTCGATTCCCGGCGTGGGAAAAGGCCTATTATTTTTTCCTTGTTTATATTTTCTCAACTATAATCCGGCTGGCAAAAAAAATAACAATTTGATATTTTAAAATTCTGATTTGGACCAGAGGCTTCATGTTCTTTTTCTTTATTATCATTCAGGTTGGTAACCATTCTCTACTTTCTAAATGACGTTGATGAAGGAGGTCAAACAGCGTTTGTTGTGGCTGACAACTCTACTCTAAATGAGTCGGTAAGTGTTTACAAAACTGTGATATTAGTTTCACGCCTTGTGTATAATTTTTCCCTGGACTAAAGATCTTTGTATTAGTGACAGGATATACTCCACATTCTCGTTAAATTATTGGCTTTTTACCACTGGAAGGTATCATACACGTGGCATATACACACTGGGATGAAGTGAAAGATTTGACTGACAGTCCCCGCCTTTTTAAAGATTCTAGTTAATTTTCCTTTCCCTTGATATTTAATCGAAGTAGATTTTCGGTTCAAGTTGAGCACCGCAGACCAGTAAGTGGTTTGACTGACTCCTGTTGCCTTCCTCAAACTTTCCTTTATTTTAAATAAAGGGTAGATAAATGTAAGTGTCTGGTCACCAGGATACTTAAAAATGTCTCAAGTTTGAATACCATGAAAGGGGTGCTCTCTGAGAATAGTGGATGCTTTAATTGAGTTAGTTTCTACAGTATTCACTGGAAGTGAGCATCAAAAGAAAAGTGTTCATTTAGTGCCTTACAGATGAGCAGTTCAGTCAGAGGATAAATGTACGTAAAGCGTTAAGCTGGGTGTCTAGCTAACATTGCCTTTTCTAAATCTTCAGTTACTTATATCAAAACGAGGCAAGAAAGGCGATCCTTTCAATCTCAGTAACTACTGTCACGACGCCAACTTG